CACGTGCACGAGCAGCTGGACAGAACAGGTGGAAATTTACGCAGCTCATTTACACACTTTTCCTGAAGGTAGAAGAGTTTGTTGAATCTGACGTGACATGTTCGTACGAACCCTTTGTACGAACAAAAGTAAGAGAAATTTAGAATAAGAATATGAACATGTTCTTGCATGAGGCCCATTGTCAGCCAATGGTTGATGACATCATCAACTAAGGTTGCTCTGATTTCATTTGATGGTTGTTGTCTTCTTTATCCATGAACTCCTCTACCAGCTCTACACCTACCTCTCCCCTCTCATTCTCACCTTCCCTCTTCTTCTCTCTGCACGTCTTCCATTGTTGTTGTGAGATCGTTTTATAGTGCTTCTGATTGGAGTGTTAACCATCAAGCCTTTAGGTGTTGGCCAGGTACAACATACTTTGTCCAGTTAGCTCATGTGTTGTCATTTTGAATGGCAGTGTTTTGAAATTGCAAACATGTGACTTTGTGTCAGATTTTTGTGTCTTGTGCATGAGAACTGTGTTCAGTTCATTTAAAAAGGGCCATATTGAATAGCGAAATGTGTGTAAAGCAGAAAATATTTTGAATTTTGGAGACTTGAGAGGTTTTGCTCTTTGTGTGTCAGTTAAAATAATTGTGCTATGGATGTTATTTAAGTGTGTTAGCAATTGGAAAAACTGTAATCCGATCAATAGCTGGCTTTAGTAATAGATATAGCCTACATGGATGTAGCAACCACTGGTTGCACTATAAAGCCTTAATTTTGACTCTCACACCACGCAATAGTTTTTTTTGAGTGTGGTTACTGTGGTGACCCTAATCAGTTATTGGCAACATCTTTACATTTTCTTCTTCTTCTGCTTCTGTTGGCGTTTTCTTATACAGTTTAAACATCTAAACACGTCTGCTTAGCTTTTTACAAAAGAAAATTCTCAGGTCAGTTTTGGACTTTACTGAAGAAAGTTCAGACAGCAGCTCTGAAAACATGTAACAAAACATGTAAAAAAAATCAGAAAAGTGGATGGCTATTTTTATTTGAGGAATACATTACTATTTTTAATCACACCTCGTAAAAAAATCATATTTACTAAGAAATAGGGGTGTAAGAAAATATTGATACACTGAAATATCGCGATATTTCATTTCCCGATACTGTATCGATATTCTAAAGCCCTGTATCGATTTTTAATTAAGGTTTAAAATGTCAACCTTCCTGCCAACCGTTCATTTTTATGTTGTAGTTCAGCCTCTGACCACTAGTTGGCAGCAGTGAGCCAGCCATTTGGCTCCTCTACCTCTTGAGCGCCAGAGAGTAAGGGTAGCATTAGCATTGTAAATAAACATTAGCTTTTCTTTTTTTTTTCAGTAAGAGGTTTTTATTTAATAGAATTTTTGGACAAAAAATCGCAATATATCACAATATGTTGCCTTGCTTACAGTATCGCAATATATCGGGATATATCGTATCGTGACCCCTCTGTTATGATATGTATYGTATCGCCAAATTCTTGCCAATACACAGCCCTACTAAGAAATCTAATGTGACACCAAGTATTTTATATTTAGTTTAAATATATTGGATATAGTTTACAGTAAAACCTAAACATTTCATTCTGCAGCGTGCCACTGTTTGTCAGGCGAAACTGTTTGAAACCATTGAAACGATGACAAATCAGGGCAACCTGAAGGATTTAGTGATCTGTGTTGGATCTTCAGTCAGTTCTTCACGTCACTGATTAACAGATCTCACAGTGATGAGGAGGAGGAAGAACAGACTTTGATTTGTTTTTGATGCCGATAAAACAAACTTTTCCAGCTAAGTTGCGTTTGAAGCTCATAAACCATGTAGGGAATTCTACCACGGCAGGTCAAAAAAATAATAACAATAAACTGCAACAATGTTAGCTTTTCATGGTTGCAACATAACTTGTATGCTTAATAAGACAAGTTAAACATTATTTCTGTAAATTTAAGTAAGAAATGCTTTTAGAAATGTTAAAACTAAAGATCAGAAGGATTATTTTGTAGGATTATTTCTGGTTTGCCATTAACCAGGCATCGTACTGAAGCTACAATATTCTCAATGGTACTTTTTTGTCGTTCAGACATGTTGGAAAGAACCCAAAGTTTCTGCAGTGCTTTTAGAAAGCGAAACAGCAGGTGGTTAAACTCTGCTTCTGCATGTGGTCAGGTGAGAACCAGTGTGTGATGTTCTGGTTAACCTGGAGACGATCAGAGTGCAGCTCAGGCAGTGTTCCTCTGCTCTGATTCTTACAGATTCAATTTAGTTTATTTATATAGCGCCAAGTCGCAACATACGTTGTCTCAGGGCACTGTACATAAAAAGAACAATCTAAAGAAGAAACCAGCAGATTGTGTTGAATCACTTCATCACAGTCTCCCATCCTGAGCAAACGGTGGAGAGGAAAAACTCCCTGCTAATCAGGAAGAAACCTCCAGCAGAACCAGGCTCAGGACAGGCGGCCATCTGCCTCGACCCGCTGGTTGGAGGACAGGAAAGAGACAAAAACACAGAATAATTGGTCCAGGTGCACCTTATTCTGGAATAGATAACTGCTGTCAGATCACAGGATTTATCTTTCTTAGCTGCCCACCTCATCTCTTTATCCCTGAACCCTCTCCACATTTTCCTCGTCAGCTTTTCATTTAGCTTTCTTTAGCTTTCCCATGTGATTCAGTCCAGTTGTAAATAAGAAGCACTGTGAGAGATTAATGTTGGCATGGCGCTCTAACTCTTGTGAACAAACATGGCAGGATATATGACCAGGAATGAATCAGAATTGTTTGATTTGATTTGTCAGGTCTATTGGTGGGTGTGATTCTGCGTTATGGCATTCCTGCCACCAGCTACCACAACAAGACCCCCCTGAGCTGCTCCCTGAAGGAGGGGCCCTCCAGCACCCTGCTGCTTAACGTCAGCGGCAAGTTCTTTGAGTACACCCTGAAAGGAGAGATCAACTCCRGGGAGATCCACAATGTGGAGCAGAATGATATGCTGCGCAAGGTGGTTTTTTATTTTTATTTTACAAATGTTTTCTTGTAGAAATGCATTAAAATCTCCTCAGTTCCTTCAAAAATACTTGAAATCTGCTTCATCTTACRTGCTCTAATTTTATTTTCTTATTCTATTTAGCTACCCTTATGCTGCTTCTAACTTCTAACCAGCATTCTGCTGCTTTTAGCTTTTACACCATTCTGCTTCTTTTAGCATTTAGCTACAATTTGACTCTTCCATCAACTAGATAACATTCTGCTACATTTAGCTTTTAGCTAGCCTTTTGCTACTTTTAACTTTTAGCTACAATATGCCACTCTTATCTAGCTTCATTCTGCAACATTTAGCTTTTATTTTTCCTTTTTTCTAGAGATTTTAGCTAGCCTTTTGCCACTTCTAGTGACTGTTCTGCTACTTTTAGCTATCATTCTTCCACCAGTAGCTTTAGCTTTTGTTGCATCAAGCAACATGTTTTAGCGACTGTTCATCTGCCAGTAGCTTTAAACTTGTTTTGCTAAATTTAGCTCTTAACTAGGCTTTTGTTACTTAACATGCTAAGCTAAACTTTTGCCACTTTTATCTTTTAGCTACTGTTTTGCTTTATTTAGCTTTTAGCTAGCTAAATGTAGCAACTTTTAGTGACTATACTTTAAGCTTTTAGCTATCCTAAAATTAGTATTTAAAGTGCCTGTGACATGCATATCCATGAAATACAAAAGGTCAAAGAAAATATATTTATATTTAAGAAACTTGGCATAATACACATGATTTTACTCATTTTGTCACATAATTGGCATATTTTCTTTTGAACTTTGCTCAGCTAAAGTGAAACAGGAAGTGACATCGAAGGGGGACTCTGAGAAAGAAATCTCCCTGGTTTTTGTTTTATTGAAACATTATTATTTGAACTATGACTCTCATCTCTCTATGATAGCAATTAAAATATTCTAAAGAAACACCAGATTTTTCCCTACAGTCTGTGTTGTTTGCCATTTTAGCAATGCTCTGTTTACATTCAGACATTCCCCTTTGACATCACTTCCTGTTTCTTCACATGCAAATATCTCAACAACCGTTCATCTCAGAGCTGTGAAATTTTTTATTACAATGTGCTATCATTGTTACCTTTCCAAAAAATACATTCATATTTATTATAAAAAAAGATGTCACAGGCACTTTAAGTACCATTCTGCCACCCTTAGCTTTTAACTAGCCTTTTGCTACTTCATGCATTACGTATAGTCTTTAGCTTTTTAACTAGCCTTTTGTTACCTTAAGCTTTAAACTAACCTTTTGTTACATTTTGCCTCCATCTAGTGTTTTGCTACATTTAGCTTAGAATTATCCTTTTGTTTGTCTTTAAGCTGTTTGCTACTTTTAGCTTTTAGCTTGTGTCCTGCTTCTATTAGCAACTGTTTATCTACATGTTGCTGTTGCTCTGCTACCAGAAGCCTTTAACTAGAGTTTGCTACGTTTAATGTTTAACTAGCTTAATTTTGTTTTTTCAGCATTTAGCTAATCTTTTGCTTCTTTTAGCTAGTGTTTTGTCATACTTAGCGTGAAGTTAGCATTTTATTCCTTTTTAGGTTTTAAAAAATGTTCTGCTACTTTGAGCTTGAATATTTCAGTTTCATCATCTTCAGCAGTCAACATTCACTCTGCTTTTTTCAAAAAATGCAATTTCTTTTGTTAATTCTGTTTGCAGGTGACCTTTGACCCTGAGGTTTTCTTCAACATATTACTCCCTCCCATCATTTTTCATGCTGGCTACAGTTTAAAGAAGGTGAGACGTTGCATATGAAATGTAATACTTGTGACTGTTACAGTACAAAGAAACATGAGCTGAAGCTGTTGTTGGGTCTGACAGACGTACTGGATCTGCTGACTCAAACAGGCTGTTTGATTGGACAGATGGTTCCCTCAGACAAACCTTTTTTTTAAAGAGGGAAGTCCAGAGCAGATGTCTTTCGTTTCCTTTTTGGCATTTTTGCTGGCACAGACAAACGACCGGCATCAGAGCAATTTCTGCTTTTGGTTGTTGGATCATGTTTCCACTGTATTCTAACAGATCAGGATGTTTTGCAGTGTTGAGCAAAGCTGGCATTTCGATTGATTCTGGAAAACGTTTGTTGCATTAATGCTTGACTAAAATCAAGCAGCAACAATAAGCCTGCATAAACAATTATAACCTTAAAGTACATCCCAAAGATTCTCAGTGGACTCTGTGGAGCCAATCCACATGTGGAAATGATGTCTCATGCTCCCTGAACCACTCTTTCACAATAAGAGCCCCATGAATCCTGGCATTGTTATCTTGGAATATGGCCATGCCTTCAGGGAAGAAACAATCCATTGATGGAMTAACCTGGGGCCTCATGTATCAACGGTGCGTACGCACAAAAACCTTGCGTACGTCATTATCCACGTAAAACTCTGGATGTATCAAAAAACTCAACTGAACGTGGAAATGTGCGCAGCCCCAYGCCAACTCCAGGGCTGGCGTCGCACTTTTCTATGGTTTTGGTTCTATTGGTGACACAGAGGTGATTCTGAGAAACTGTTCATGATGTGAAAATGATTATTGTTCACACCACGATTAGCAATTATTACATCCACACGGACGCAGTTAGATAAAAGACGTGCAAAGTTGTGCCAAAAATACATTTAACAGGAACAGATTCAGCCTTACTGGAGGATATAATAAATAGTGTAACACGCAGAGCTTTTATTTATAAACAGACAGAATTTTCTGATGACGAGTGGCTCATCAACTGTTTTGAAGAAAAATCATTTTTCAGTTTGGCACTGCTGCGCTCTGGGAGCGCGACGCAGCGAGTAGCTACAGCAGCAGCGATTGAACTGGATTGAACCAGGGGTGTAGCRACATCYTGGGCCCTTTTTAAAGGGGTACCTGTGAGTGACATTTGTGCCGCGGCCAGCTGGGCCTCACCAAACACATTTGCACAATTTTACAGCCTGGATGTAACAGCRCCTTCGGTGGCTCATTCTGTACTTTCTGCCGGGTCCAAAGCTCTGCATTAGTACAGTCCTTACTCAGGCACACTACTTAACTCAGGTCTGATACTGCTCTGCGGGGCGCTTTGACAAGTCCCATATGCAACTGTGTGTTGTACTGAGTGAAATGACTGAAAAGGAACGTAAGGTTATGATGAATAAAACCACGGTTCCTTGAAGGAATGGAACGAAGTACAACACCTTGTTGGCCCCGCATCACAAAAGGCTCGGTGAAGGGCGGTATCTAACTGAGTAATGATGCTGGTGACTCCGAACTTATAGGGTGAAGGCGGAGCCTGTCACCAGACGTTCAACGTCACCGGTCTAAAGACGTGATTAGAGGTGGCTTCAGCCAGGTGCGCGTGTCCCATATACAACTGTGTTGTACTTCGTTCCATTCCTTCACGGAACAGTGGTAATAATCATAACCTTACATTCCTCTGTGTTTACAGTAATTATGGTAATAAACTCGTGCGCAAAGTTAATATTTTCAGACTCAGAATGGATGGATAAACCAGTTGCGCAACACAGCAGCGTGCACACACACACACACACACACACACACACTGACACACAATCGCTTGTTCTTTGCGTGATAAACATATTTTATTCCTATTTTTACTTAGGATTTTTTTCTCACTCACTTTATATTAAATTCATTATTTTTATGACTCTAGAAATCATTTCTGATCGCGCAGGGATCACTCAAACGTGTCCTTCACACATGCAGGAAGTAATTTGCATCTGTTTAATATGTTAATGAAGGCGTGTCAGGGGAGGTGTCTCACGTGCTCAGTTCCACGTTAATTGTGATGTACAAAAGTAATGTTTGTGGATTCAGGCGTACGCACAGTTTGATACATCTGGATTTTTTTGTACGTACGCCATTTTCTGGATTTGACCGTWCGTCAGGTTTCAGTAAAAAATCCACGCAAGTCTTTGTACATGAGGCCCCTGGTCATTCAGTATATTCAGGTAGTCAGCGGACCTCATTATTTGAGCACAGACTGTTGCTGAACATGGACCTGACCACCTGCAGCAACCCCACATCAAAGACCTTTTTATTGGCCACGCAGTGTAGAATCAAACAAAGGAAAATGAAGTAAAATGCGTAACAATGTGATTTAAAGGCATCAGGAGCATCTAATGCTTAACTTTTAGAGTCAACCCAATTCGTTCAAACATAATAAGTCTTAGCAAAAGTAAGTGAGTGAATGAATGAATGAATGAATGAATGAATGAATGAATGAATGAATGAATGACTATAATTCAGTTAATTTTGCAGATACTGAGCTCAAAGTTGATGTGTTAGTCATCCTCAACACATATTTTGAGCACTAAAATATAACGTGGTTCCTAGACTTCACTCCTAAGACACTACAATTGACTTGGGAGTTATTGTCACACATTTTCTACATAAAGTTTGAACATTCTTGAGGTTTACTGTTAAATTTGCTCAAAGTATTCGATGGGGATGACTTTCAGCTACTCCTTATGGACTGAATTGTATAGCCATTCTTGTGTGTTGTGCTAAGGTTGTTTAGCTTTGGTGGCCATCTTGAATTGGTAAACTTCAAAAGGTAATCAGATGTAGACGTTTATCCAGTAATTACTTTCTCTGAATTTCTTTAAAATCCAGTGGTTTATTTAGATATTTTGCTGACACAGACATACATAGAAACAAGCAATAAACCATTTTGTGGTTACAAATTCGCAAAGCGGCAGGGCAATTCAGCTAACCTGGCCCGGGGGCCACAGTTACTGCAGGCCAACAGCTGAGGGGCCGAACATCCAGCTATTAGTTATTATGTAAATAAACCAAGTATTACAAAGATCTGTTACATTTGAAATAGTTTATTTTGCTGCATTTATTCATGAATACAACATAMAGAACCCTATGTAATAAAAGTAGTGATAATTAAGTAAAAAACAAAAATAACACATTCTGCCTCATATTTAACACAAATATTATTTTGACATCTCTGACTTGCCAAATGTTTAAACCAATTTTATTTTCACTTTCATAGTTTTATCGACTGCTTGTAGTTTTAACTGTCTTGGATGTTCATAGAAATGTTTTTTTACCAGCTTGTAGCCAAGTTTCTGATGTTTCTGTAGACACCAAACATGTCTATGTTTAACTAAATGAACTNTTTCTGTAGACACCAAACATGTCTATGTTTAACTAAATGAACTTATAATAATTAAAGTAGAAAACCGGGGGCTTGGGCTTCAGAGATAAATGAACAAATTGGCAGGCCGAACTTTGGTCACTCGTGGGCCGCCAGTTGAATAGCCCTGTCCTACAGGCTCTGAGACATAAAATAAATTTGAAGCTGTTAAAAAAATCCACAAGATTAAAAAAAAAATCAATGAAATTGTCTTGTATCTCCGTATACCTGCAAAAACAAAGAAARTCCATGTAATTKATGGACAATCCATACAACTTGACATGTATATAAATCTGCTTTTTGAGCTTGTTTTGGTTGCATTTTTGCTGCCTTGGTTGAGAGTATATATTGTTGTTTAGATACCAACTACATGTGCAGAAGTCCCAACTGAGTGCTGGATCATTCAGTAAAGCAGGAAGTGGTAGGAGCTAAAATAATCAAATATCCTGTACATCTTGTGGCTTGTTCAGTTTATAAGTAAGAGCAGATAAGAAGAACAAAATCCAAAATGAACTGAAATACTAAACAGCAATGAAAGTGATAATTCAAAATAGTTGTTACAGAATTATTTTTTATCCAGTGTTTGTCACAATTTTCAAAAACCATCAGATAAATGGAAAAAATCTGGTTGCAAACAAATTCAATAGCAGTGCAGGTTTGTTTATATTGAATAACCTCTGACCCCTACCCACAAGGCCGTGCACGTACTAAACTACAGTAACTGTTGCCCACCACCATGAAAGGCAGGTGATAAAAGTAAAATGTGTTTATTTTATTACAAATTACGATTTTTAACAACTAACCTCTGTTTTCAGGTAGCAGTGTCACTTTAGTTTCTGTAACAGTTTCCAGAAACATTTGACTTAATTGGCAAATGTTGCTAAGCTAAAAATAGTTGGCGTGCATAGCTTTACTAAAATTCTCATTTAAAGTAGGCCCAGTGATGGACCTGTTACCTGTCTAAAGAGTACCCCACCTTTATACACACCTGGACATAGACACCAGGTACCTGGAGAGGAGAAGGAGGCGAAGAAAATGATGACAAAAAAAGTAGCTATTAATTTAGCATTAGCTGCAGCAGTAGTTTAGTTTAGTCTTGAGATCAACTTTGCTGAGTCAAATAAAACTCCTGAGGAAACAGGAAGAAGAATGTCACATCAGCACTAAAGGATTAGACTTTTCTTAGATTTACTGTATGTATTAAAAAAAACACCAACATACCAAACATACAAGACTGTAAAAGACATTTATCTTTGTCTTGTAGCTGAGCACTAACAGAGCAGAGCTGTCATCTCTAACCTACAAATTATCTTTTTTTTTCTTATCTGTGTGACAGTTACTGGGGTAAAGGCACATTTCCTGTAAAAATCTGAATCGACAGTTTTATTGCAGAGTCTGAGGCACCTCAGTGGTCTGGAGTCAAATTTTTTTCTTGTTTGTTTTAAAACTAGTCAAACAGCTGGATGTGAGGTTGTTGGACTCCCTCAGTTGTGGCGGTTTCCCAGACCGTTGTTTAAAGATTCTTCCCAACATGAGGAAGTTGTGTTTTCCAAAAACTGTCATTTTATGTTGAACTTTCACAGATAATGTTAATGTCCTTCTAATATTTTATCTCTCACCCCATTTGTAGAGACACTTCTTTAGGAACTTGGGCTCTATAATAACCTATGCCTTTCTTGGCACGGCCATCTCCTGCTTTGTTATTGGGTAAGTTTCTCCTTTTTTTTGTACAAATCCTGAAAAAGTTGGACCGTTGTGTACAATGCAAATAAAAGCAGAAGGCAATGATTTGCAAACCTCATGAACCTTTAATTCACAATGGAACGTGGAAAACACAAACTATTTTAATTATGTAAATGCACTTTTATTGGGGAGAAATAAGGTAATTTAAGGTAAAAACAGATTGAAAAAGTTGGCACAGGGCCATGTTCACTACAGTGGAGGGCAATGACCCACTCTTGTCTGATGTAGGATTTTAGCAGTTCACCAGTTCTCCATCTCTTTTTTTTTTTGGTCTGAGTTTCATTTCATGATGTGAGAGGTGTTTTCTGTTTGTGAGAGGTCTGGATTACAGGCAAGGCCTGTTCATTACTCATACTCCTCTACAGCAGTGATGTTATTAGTGTCTTAGCCATGCTGTAGACACTAATGCACCCCTATACCATCAGAGAGGCAGGCATCAGTGAGGCAGGCGTTGTGTGCTGAAAGCATACCAAATGGTCCCCCATCGTTTTTTGTGTGGAAGCTGTGGCAGCTCTGGTTTCCAAGAATATTTCAGCTTAGACCACAGAACAGTTTATTTTATTGATTTATTTATTTAAAAGGACAATATTCAGTATTCCATGCGCCGGAATTAGCACAACAGCAAAATTTAATTCATTGTCCCTAGCAGATAAAAAAATAAACTGTTATTTAAGCAAGTGCACAAAAAAAGAAAAAAAAAACAAGTGCACAAAACCAATACAAAAATTGATTAAAACAACCCAACAAAACACACAAGCATCACACACTGCAAGTTACAGTCAAAATAGATCTGTTTTATAAATGAATACATGACTGATTTAAGCCAAACATTAAGCTTCTTTTTAAAACAGAACTAACACAGTCTCTGATATCTTTTTGACTTTCTCTTATTTCATTTCTTAAATCTGTTCCTCTAATTAACGTCACCTTTCGCCCAAACTCCACCCTCCATCTTGCTACAACACTGTCACCTCTAGTCTGACATCTAGTGTTTTGTTCTGGATTTGTACTTTTGAAMTGAAGAGTTTAAAGGTGAAGCACGTCCATTTAAAACCCTAAAACCTTATCCCACGGCGCTCTCTTAGATCATCTGGTCAGCTAATTCTGAAGGTCCCTAACTCTCGTCTCAAACTGAGAGGTGATAGATCCCTTACTCAGGTCCAAAACTGTGTAATGATCTACCACTACATGTCAGGCAGTCTCCATCCCTCGATGTCTTCAAGTCTYGTTTAAAACACACTACTGCTCCCTTACCTTTGAGTCTGAGTGAGATGGTGCAAAACCTCACCGCACCGTGTACCATCACTCTGTTCTACGTGTTACTGTAAATATAAATGCTCCATATTTTGACTGTAATTTAAACTATGTCCTGTTGTGTCTGTCTACTGTACAGCACTTTGGTTGGCCTTGTGCTGTTTAAAGTGCTTTATAAATAGAAGTGGTATGGTAAAAACAAAACTTAAATCACTGAACCTTATAAACTACTGGGGCAGTGTGTCCCATCAGTGTATGCGTGTGATTTAAAGCAGTGGTTCCCAAACTGTTTATCTTATGACCCAAAAAATATCCATGGCAAAAACTTGTGACCCCAAATATTACTGGTCTGAGTACATGARCTTTGTTAATAACCCTAAAAACACAGGCTTTTTGACAACCTAAACAGCTTGTACACAAATACAAAATACTTATTTATACTTTTTTGTGTGTTTTTGTAATAGTTATAGGGAAAATATTACATTAGCAATGATTTTATTACCCTTTAAATTRATTTCTGGAGATTATCCAAGGTGCTTCATGACCCATAATTGGGTCCCAAGCCCAACTTTGGGAACCAAAGTGCAGTGGTTCCCAAACTTTTCAGCTTTTGACCCACAAAATAACAGTAGCAGAGACCTGTGCCCCCARCTATTTTTGGATGATAAACATTTGTATCAGGTCAACAAAACATGGGCATAGTAACAATATTTTTATACTACATTCATCCATTTTAAACACACTAACCTCACTCATTTGTAACAGCTAAGACAAAAATGTAATTAATTCAGAAAATCTTTTCAGGACCCCGCCTTGATGTTTTTGGGACCCCACTTTGGGTCCCGACCCCAACTTTGGGAAACACTGATTTAAAGCACTGATTAGATTCTATAGATTGATTTATCTAGATTAGCTTTGTAGAGACATAATAGAGTGCTGTGTGAATGGGTAAATGAGGGCACAGATTGTGGTGTAAAGTGCTTTGAGTGTCCTGGTTGGATAGAAAGGTGATATTTAAGTACTTGGGGTGCAACAATACATGTACCCGTATCGAACCGTGTTGAACAATACAGATTTAAAAAATTTATTTTATCAGCTTATCTTCTGAAGATGCTCTGTGTTGAAGGATCAGTGGATCTGTGTTCGACTACTCCACCTAGGCTGCATTGTCGAGTGCAGATCCACTGAGAAACTTGCTGTTTCAGCAATATTTAATAAAAAAACTGTACTTTTGAGGTTAAATGTTCAGAATTAATTTAAATAAATTACAAGTGAAAGAGCACAGACATTTCTCTTCTTTTGTATTAAAAAAATATTGAACCTTGAGACTAAAGTATTGAACTGAACAAAATTGTGAATTTTTTGTATCGTTGCACCTAATAAGTCCATTTACCATTTATTGATATTACAGTAGTGAACATGAAAAGGCTGTCTGTCTAAAACACCTTACCTAATTTAATAAGAAGAGTCTTTATATCAACTGTAGTTTATCTGTGATCTAAGATGCATATTGAGTTGTGTTGACTTATGTTGTCACATTACACATTTAGGTTTGGTTTGATATCTATGTTGAAGTTTACGACTGTAAATCTGACACAATGTGATTGAGAGATCTAAAGCAGGAGAACAGAAAGAGGAACTAAACGTGTGTACAAACTAATTAATCCAACTGAACATGCACTGAATATCACATCGACTGATTAATAAGATACAGTTTAGAGGTTTAGGCTTTAGCTTCCTCTAAATTTATTTCTATTTAACTTTTTATTGTTAACGGAACTAAAGAAATAATGTAGTGGTTTAGATGTTAGGGGAGCTGTTGAATATGCATGGGAATTCTGTCAGAAAATAAGAGTTCAGAATTCAAGACAGCAGCTCCTCAGCAATGTTTAAAACTCTTACTTTTAATAGTTTTTCTGTATTATTTATTCTACATTTAGTCAGTCGTACACGTAGTACTTTTCAGTGTTTATAAGAGGACGTGTTAAACACTGTTTTTATGCAGGAAATACCAGGTAGAGCTCAGTTCTTGCTTGTTAGCGGTACTCGGTCATAGCAATGAGACGTGTTTAGTCAAAGTTAATTTTATTTTATTAGTAGTCTTCACCTAAAATTAGGATTTGAGTCAAACCAAACACTAAAGGTACTTCAACTGATCATCAAGTCTCTCTCCGTTCACATAAACACTTATTTTTGGGCTGTCTGCTTGATGGTGTGATTTTAAAAAAGCAACAACAACATGGTGGGATACCAGAACCATAGCAGCAGATAAAACATCAGCTGCTTCCTGTCCTGATTTAGCAGGTGTATAAAGTTCTTCACTTTGCTTCAGTCTATTTTAAATAAGCTCAGACCCAAAACAGACCACATTATTTCTAAGTGGTGTTCACAGGTATCCAATATTGACATTTGCTGTTGTCCTCTTGAAGCCTTTCATGACACATTTCTAACTGCTCTGGTCCACCCCCAGGAATCTGATGTACGGTGTGGTGAAGCTGATGCAGGTGGTGGGACAGCTGACTGACAGGTTTTACTACACAGACTGCCTTTTCTTTGGTGCCATCATCTCAGCCACAGACCCAGGTACAACRCAAATATACGTAATTGATTATATTTATTTAGATCTCGTCTGAATTATTATTATATTTTCCTTTGTGCGTAGTGACTGTGTTGGCCATCTTCAACGATCTCCATGCTGACGGGGATCTCTACGCTCTGCTGTTTGGAGAGAGTGTCATGAATGACGCGGTGGCCATCGTGCTTTCATCGTAAGTTTATCTGCCAAATACCCGTTGGAAAAGAAAAAGAATGTCATGTTGGCGGGGCTTGTTGAGGAGGAAACACTTTAATTCTGACTAGATTGATGAGGTAACAGCTAGTGTGAGCAGGACTAAGAACCAAGCTGTCTCCAAACAATTCCAATCCTATCATTTTTAATGTAATTCCAGAGTTGTAAAGTAACTAAGTTCAAATACTTTGTTATTGTACTTAAGTATAATTTTTGGGTATCTGTACTTAAGTAATTATTTTTCAGCCTACTTTTTACTTCTACTTCTTACATTTTTAAAAAGGCAAGAAGGACAATGTTGTTTTTGACTGCCATTTTAATTTCAGTCTTAGTCTTTTGAACAAAAATACTTCTTAGTTTTAGTCAGTTTTAGTCATTTCTATATTTAATGGTTTTAGTCGACAAAAGCTTAATTTTTTTTTTTAGTTTTATTCTTAAAAAAGACAACATATTACAGTAGTCTTTACAAATAAATTTGAGTAATTTGTGTTAACATTTGTGAATTTGTGTTACTCTAAAATTAAAATGCCCAAAACAAAAACATTCTCACTTTGTGACTTTATTTCTCAGAATTTGCTAAAAGTGCAATGGACATACAAAAAACACATGCCCAATTTTATAAGCAATAAAAGGGAACACACATGTTCAACTCAAACTTGTCAGCCAGGATGATGAAGATGCATCTTATTTATAAAAATGGACATCATGCAGTCCTAAACTTTGTAGACTATTAAACTTGTGCAAACGAGTGTTTACATGCACCAGGCTTTTATTCAGAACAGAAACACTAACATGCGCAGTTGCTAACTCCCCCCGGCCATAAAAAAAAAAAAATAAAAAAAAATAAAACCCAAGAGTTTTACTTTTGTCTTGAAAGTAAACAAACAGCTTCTGAGTGCTCAGACTGGACCTGCAACAGCTTTTAATAATGGTGGAGATGTTACTCCCTGGTTTAGATACAGGTGATGGACAGACTTTTTTTTCTCGAAGAGGCACAGGCTGTTTGTCTTCCTTCTTTACTGAATGAAAGGAGGAAATGTTCTGTGCTGCCGTGTGTGCGCATGTGTAACAGCGCTGCTGTCCCTCCCTCCGCTGTACATTCTAAATGATTGACAGACCACCAACTAACATTTTCGTCCAGTCTTRTCAACTTGTCAATTCGTCACGTCTTAGTCATCAAAGAGCTATGTTAATTTCATTACTGTCTCGTTATCGTCATGAAAAGAAGGGGCGTCAATGAAAATATTTCGTCATCGTTAACGAAAACAACACTGAAGAAGTACAAAGTTGTTACTTTTATTTCTGTTATGGCAATATTTATTTRACAAAGACAGAAATACGTGGTCCAAGAATGAAGGTACTCCATCAGATGATCAGCTGAGTTTTATTGCAACAACAGGAAACACAGAGAACAACCTGCCCTGTCTCTGTGCCTCTGCCTCTATCTGTCTCTCCACTCTGTCCACTGTCGAGAGGCCTCATATATACTGTATATTAACAAACACCATTATGTCATCTTAGCAAGATTTGATACAAGGTCAAGGGAAAACAAAGATACACACAGTAGTATCTAAGAATGACTGTTGTTAGCAAATCTTGTTCTGACTTTAATCATTCTATCTGCAGATGAACAGCATGTCATGAAAACCTAGGTCATTAAAGGATGTTACGAATTACTGGCTTAAACATAAAAGTATTAGTTCCATTACATCTCCCCCATCTGATCATTAAATCACCAATTAAATGATCAATAAAACAAAAAAAAACTCTTTAATGTATTTTTAAAAAAACATGTCAACACAAACCTAAGTATATGTACGTTTCTGAAATCCCAACCCTAGTAATTCAATTTTTTATTCCTCCCACAGTCATTTCTAACCCCCCAAAACTTAATTATCACACAGAAGTCTTTGGATCATCTTGAACACAAACAGGATTGTCAGTTTTGTTATATGGAAGGGTCAGAGGTGGTGGTGGGGCTCTGTGAATCTTTGTAGATCTTGGTTTAGCGCGAGGGGCTGGAAGAGGAGGGTTAGCTGGATTTGGGCATTGTGTTTGTTTGATATTAATCTCGCCAGGTTCTTTCATGTTATTAGTAAAATCCAGGAGGGGGCATTCCACTTGCTGTCCTGTTGGGGTCTCAGAGTCCAAGAGATCCTCTGTTTGTGATGCTGATTCTGCAGCTAGAAGTAACTCCTCTCTCTCTGGTTCTGGTTCTGAAGCAGTCTCCTTATCAGTAACTGGCACGCTGTGTTCCACTGATATCTCAGTTTTCTCCAGCTGTCCTTCAGACATCAGCTGTTGTGGTTTTTCCTGTTTGTTTCCAGCCGAAACTTTGTTCAGGAAATACGTACTTCATGTTTGAAGCCAGAAGTTGTGCTCCAGTTTGATTCAGAGTCATTCCATCAGACCTGAAGAGATGTTTTCTCTCCCAGAAGAGGTCAAAGTTGTCCAAAAAACTCATTGAGTGGTCAACACAGAGCTTTTCCAAAAAGCTTGTTAACAGGGGGGAGTAAAAGAAGCCATTTTTGTGAAGAAAGACCGTCCATCATTAAACAGAGGTGGAGGCCTCCGTTTTCAGTTGTCCCCCTCCTACAGYGCTGCTATTGCCAGTATCACTCCACCCCCTGTTAACAATARKTGTTAATTAGGTGTCAACGATAGCYATGTGATGTGAGTATCAGTCACATGGAGGCAGGACTCAAAAGCCTGAATTTTGCCTGAAACTCTCAGACTGAAGAAGTCTCTTGGAGGAGAGACGAAACRTTTCATTAGAGAAGAACCCGTCCAGAAGACCTATACAATTTTTTTCTTTTTGATTTTTTTACCTGGATTACTGAGATGCATCAGGACATTTAGAAAACAACATGTACGTAGCCGGAGGGGTGGGTGTTTGGACGAATCGCCCACTTTGCCTAAAAAGGTCAGACAGCATTTGCTATTTTTTCTTGATTTTATTATTTCTGTATTGTAACAGTCCAGTAGGCTACATGTTACGAGCTGCATTCAGAGTCACACTTTAACTGTCCAGAAAATCATCATCAACACACAACAAAACCTGTCCTGCTTGCAGACRCAGACCCACAGAACCCGTCTGCGTCATTAAAAAGYAACAGGAGTGCGGGACARCTCAGAGCAGAGTTTCGGCTTGTTGCACACCCAGACAACGTTTCTCATTGTTAAAGAAACAAACACGATGCGCTCTGTTCTCATGAGGACATGCCGTGTGTGGAAAACAACCCACCTKGTAGCGCACTATTTAATAAAATCATTTTAAAGTGGGGTTCAGTAGAGAAGTTKTGAACGTCCTTGCATGTCAAAATTTCAAACAAAGATCTGGACCTGTCAAACTCAGAAATACTCTTTATGCTTGTAAGAAAATCTTTAAGTGTGAAAACAATTTTTGTCTCATAGCTGGGTTTTAAATTCAGTCAAACATCAGAGCTGATTTATAACTTTTATCTGATCGTGGATGACATAAAAAAGCCCCCGGCATCACTGAGTCAGATTTCAAATTCAAGAACATTCTCAGACAAATGTCAAGATAAAATTATGAAAATCTTAATTTTAAATTAAACACCAGTAATTTTACATTTATTGTCTTTTATAAAAAATGTCTAAAAAAATCCTGAATATTCACGTAGTAAATTAAAGACGAGCAGTTTTCTCTTTGATCATTTGTTTGGCGAAGAGTCAAACAGCTGTCAACTGTCATCAGTTCATAAAAAGCTACATTTGATGATGTGATCACTGCAGCCATGTAAGAGGAAACTTAAACTGGAGAGAGGAGGAAACATTAACACTTGTTGAGTTAGGTAAACAAAGTTCAGTCCCACGTTAATTTGTGCAGAGAGGAAAACCACCTCCAGACTTTTGACTGCATCTCATGTAGCCTGCATTCACTCACCATCTGACTGTGAATGAAAATGTATAATATTCTCTCTAAACTCACAAATATCAGTGTTTAAGTCCATATTYAAACACATGTCCAGTATAATCATTTTTCCCTGATTTATTTTTTGATGCCTGACCCTGTTTCCCACAGCTTATTTAGTCTCCTCTGGATATTTTGACTGAGAATAAGACTCAGGAGGACAGCTTGAAACTGTGCTCTCTCGATGTTTCTGTCATGGATTGTGAAGATTTTCAACCCAACGTGCGGGCAAACACTCATGCAGAGGCTTCTCTTCTTAAAATAAAACTGTAAATTAACGATAAAACAAAACAAAATGTTGTTGAAGCAGCAAAACTACAGAGCAGAACGTGTGAGTGAGCAACAACTGACGCACACAATGTACAAATGAGAACAAACAGACCTCCAGAGGATATAAAACCCAACTAATTAACCCAAAATAGCAACAGCTGTGCAGAGAACCTGAGACCAGGTACAGGTGGGTGTGGTCCAACAGAACTGAACTGGAGGACAGACTAATCAGAAATACTAAAACACAATCAAAAKACAGAGTAAATACAGAAACGCAGATCATGATGGTTTAAGACAGGAAAAATAAAAATGTTGTGTAGTAATGAGTGAATGAGCTGGATTAATTTATATGTTGTGTTAAATATGTATCAACATTTTAATACTAAACAGCAACAAAACTTTTTAGCAGAACACGTTTATCATAATGACCTTTTTAAAGCTGCAGTCTTTTATAAAAATGTATTTTTGGCATATTTGTTAAAACTGTCACTACGTCCTGACAGATGGATATTAGACAGATAATCTCTGAAAAAACAAAAGTCCTCTGGCTCCTCCTGGTTGTTCTACAGCCATCTGTTCAAATCTAGCGCTCCTGTAGAAAAAGGGCAAATCAAAGCCCAGAGGTTTGTCTCACAGGTGTCAATAATGTTTATGAATGAGCTGCTCACACCCACCCTCCCGCAGCCGCGCACACTCTCAGCTCAGATTTACACTACATGCGACTCTGCTCCGCTGCGCTGCGGTGCTCAGTTCACATCTGGTCCAATGTATACAGCCTCCACTCAGCTCCTCTCTGGTGCGACACACAGGAGGGAGCGTGAGCAGGAAGGAGATCGCACAATAAATCCAGTGATAAATGTGGAAGTCAGAGCAATAAATAATTAATTCTGTGAAAGACAAATTCTAAACACAGCTGAAAACATTGATATAAAAGCTTTTGATATTGTTATGACAATATTTAACAAAGACAGAAATACGTGGTCCAAGAATGAAGGTACTCCATGAGATGATCAGCTGAGTTTTATTGCAACAACAGGAAACACAGAGAACAACCTGCCATGTCTCTGTGCCTCTGCCTCTATCTGTCTCTCCACTCTGTCCACTATCGAGAGGCCTCATACATATGGGTGCTGCACGTGGCTTCAGCGACTGTAATGGTGCGTTCACACCGAACATGATTTCAGCATCAGGAGCCTCAGGTTTACATACAAAGTCTGTGGTGGATGCGCTTCAATC